AGAGACGCAGACAGCGATACACTCTAACTGTCTGTGTCTCTTTCTTCTAAACTTTAAAGGCGCATATCTCGCGAACCGTTAAAGCTATCAAAAAATTTTCAACTAAAAAAATGTGGGAAATTTAATTTTCTACATTTCCCTAGTTGAATACTTTCTGATAGCTTTTCTAGTTTTCGAGAAAAAACTCACTTTTCTATACACATTCTGAAGCTCTTCAATCGTATCCACTTTAAATTTTTCATAGCGAACCTAGAAAACTTTTTTGCCTGAAAATCGAAAAATGAAATTCGCCCACTTCTCTTTCCTCATTCGATTGTTTCATTTTCTTGATCAATTCGTCACTTCTTGTCTCCAATTCTTGCAATTTCTCTCGAGACTCTTCTCCTTCTAGAAGCTTCTTTCGATCGATTTTTAAATTTTCATTTTCTCTGGAAATTTCCAGAAATTTCTCCTTGAGGATACGGTAGTTTTCTTGGGTTTTTAGGACCAGCTCTCTTTCAACCTGAAAAATTTAAAGTTTCGAGTTTTCGGAATTTTTCTATAAATACCGTAAAACCTGTATTAGAAGGGCTAGCCCTTCTATTGTTCCAAGGTATCTCCGGGGGCCCTACAATTAGAGGGAGGCCCTTCTATTTTTTCCGGCCATTTTTTTTCCGAAATGTTGCATCGAAAAATTCGACAAAGTTTCGTTCAAAATTCATGAAAATCTGTCAATTTCACCAAAATTTACTATTAGCAAGATTTTTATCGAAAAATAGAGTTTCAACAAATTTCTATCAAATTGTGGAGTTCCCGGAAGGGGGGTCCTTTTTCGCAGAGGGCTCTTCTATTACAGGGGACCCGTCTATTTTTCCAAGCCCCTCTCGGAGGGCCCTTCTATTACGGGGCCCCTTCTATTGAAGGGATCCTTCTAATAGAGGTTTTACGGTATCAGAATCTCCGGAATTTGTATAATTTTTTGAAAATCTGAAAATTTCCAAATAATCTTTTTTTTTGTCAAAAAACTTACTGTCAAAATCCTATTCAACTCATCAATTTCAGAGTAGTTGTATCGACGAGCGCTCATTTTTTAGTAGAAAAAATCTGTTTGTCCAAATGTCCGGATTTTCAAAATTTCTGAAAATTCCAAAGTTGATCAGGAAAACAAGAAGAAGTAGAAACTTTTAAAAATTTACGAAAATTAACGAAAATTTCCAAAACTTCAGAAGTCTTAAAAATGAAATAATTCCGAAAATTCCAAAATTCCAAAATTCATGAAAATCCTAAAAACTTCAAGACTGCTGAAAGAAAATTCATGAAACTTCCAAAATTTCAGAATATCAAAAAATTCAGAAACAAAATTTGGGAGTTGAAAAATTCTGGAAAGTCCAAAAATTCAAAAATCCGAAATTTTCAACATTTTCAAAAAAGTAAAATAAATTCTGAAAATTTTTAGAATTACAAATTTTGAAAAAAAGGCAAATTTTAAAAAATCTCTCTTCCCCAAATTGCTCATTTTTATTCCAGAAACACATTTTTAGAATAAAAAGGAAGAGACGCAGAGAAAAAAAGAAATATGGAGCCGATGTTTCCCAACGACGACACACATTGCTCCATAATTGGCATGGTGACAGATGGGGCAAGCAGTGAGAGAGCACAAAGAAGCGAGAGACGCAGTGAAAGTGAGGAGACAGCTGCAAAACAAGACGAAGAGGAGATTTAGGAAGTGGACCAAAATGAGGGGAAAAGGAGGAAATTGAATGGGGGTGAAAGGAGATTTTTCGTCGAAGGCGGGAAATTCAAAAATTGGGGCTTTTTCAACTTTTTGGAATTTTCAAATTGCAAAAAATGAACATTTCTACAGTTTTCTGAAAATTCTATAATTTTGGAAAAATTTCTGAATTTCTGAATTTCTGAATTTCTGAATTTCAGAATTTCAGAATTTCTGAATTTCTGAATTTCTGAATTTCTGAATTTCTGAATTTCTGAATTTCTGAATTTCTGAATTTCTGAATTTCTGAATTTCTGAATTTCTGAATTTCTGAATTTCTGAATTTCTGAATTTCTGAATTTCTGAATTTCTGAATTTCTGAATTTCTGAATTTCTGAATTTCTGAATTTCTGAATTTCTGAATTTCTGAATTTTTGAATTTCCGAATTTCTGAATTTCCGAATTTCTGAATTTCTGAATTTCTGAATTTCTGAATTTCTGAATTTCTGAATTTCTGAATTTCTGAATTTCTGAATTTCTGAATTTCTGAATATATATCGCAAATGCCAAAACTTTGAGAAATACACTTCTCACTCAAACTGTCTCATATTCCAACAATCTACCGTAATCTTACTGTAAACACTCTAAATGAAGCGCACTCTACACGATCATTTTGAGCTCAATTATCTCAATCCCTGTAAGAGATATCAAAAATTTGTCAACTGATAAAATGTTTATCATATTATCACCAACATTTTATCAGTTGACACAATTTTGATACCTCTTATATGGACCGAGATAATTGAGCTCAAAGTTGATGGTGTGGGTGGGTTTCTATTAGAGGAAATACGGTAAGAGTTCACTGAATTTTTCCATAAAGTTTGTAAAAATTGAAGTTTCTGAAAAAAGTCAAGTTCTGGAGCCCGGGTTTCTGGAACCCGGGTCCTGGAGCCTGGGTTGTGGAGCCCGGGTTCTGGATCCCGGATCTTGGAGCCCGAGTACTGCAGCCCGGGTGCTAGAGCCCCGGTACTGGATCCCGAATCCTGGAGCGCTCACTTATCTCGATTCCATTGAGAGATACAAAAAATGTGTCAACTGATAAAATGCTTATCATGATATCAGTAACATTTTATCAGTTGACAACTTTTCATATCTTTGACAAGATCCGAAATGATTGAACTCCGATTTTCTTAATTTCAGTTTTCCAGATTTTTAGATCATTCTTCTCGAATCTCTTGTTGAAAATTCAGTCTCCAAGAACAAATAATTTATTTTTTTATTTCAATTTTTTATTCATTTTTTATCCGTAACAGGTTTTCGTTGAGTCTCCTCTGCTCAGCAATGTATGCAGCATACCTGGAAAATGTTTGATTCTCGAGAAAAATTCTGAAAACATTTCAAATTCTACCTTCTTCTCGCCCAATTGATTATAAAAATTGTTGAAAAATATGCGAACGCTGTCAAGAATAATGTGCCAGAAACCAGTAAAATACATAGAAAACCGTCATCGTCTTGGGAATACTGAACATTGATCATGCTGAAAAAATTGAAAAAATCGTAAAATTTTTTGAAAAATGCCATTATTTGTTACAGATTTGATATAGAATTTGGGGATTTCTGGAATTTTCGCGTTTCCAAATTTTCGAATCACACTTTTAGGAATTTCAAATATTTTAATTTTCTGACTTCTTGAATTTTATTATTTATGAACTTTCAAATGTCGGACGCCGGGTACTGGAGTAGCCCGGGTTCTGGAACCCAAGTTTTGGAGCCCAGGTTTTGGAGCCCGGGTACTGAAGCCCGGGTACCAGAGCCCGGGTTTCGGAGCCCGGGTACTGGAGCCCGGGTGGTGGAGCCCGGATCCTGGAGAACGGATCCCGGAGCCTGGGTACTGGAGCCTGGACCCTGGAGCCCGGGTTTGGAGCCCAAGATTTGGAGCCCGGGTTCTGGAGCACGAGCCCCGGAGCCTGGGTACTGGAGCCCGGGTCAGAATTTCATGACTTCAAAATTTAACATTTTTGGACCTCAGAGTTTTAGAACTGGAATTTCAGAATTTCAAAATTTTGGAATTTCGTTCCCGAATTTCTGAATTTCTGAATTTCTAAGCTTCAGATTCTTGAAAATTATCTACAGTTTTCAGAATTTGTATATATTTTTTAATCCCCAAAATTAATATACCGTAAACACTCTAATAGAACGCCACCCGGACCGTCCACTTCGAGCCTATATAGCTCACTTATTTTGAAAGATATCAAAAAAGTGTCAACTGATAAAATATTTATCATGATATCAGAAACATTCTATTAGTTAACCACTTTTTGATATCTCTTACAGAAAATGAGATAAACGGGCTCAAATTTGAAGAATCGAGTGGCATTCTATTAGTGTTTACGGTATCCTAAACTCGCCAAAAAAAAAAAATCAAAATAGCTCTAATCGCCTGTAAAAATGTTGCAGTTCTTTATTGACAAGAAATAAAACAAATCTGATTTTAAAACATTTTATAATTCCAGAACTTTCTGGAAATTTCAGAAAAATTCAAACACGAAAAAGTACCGCATGATTGAAATGAGAGAAAAATTCGAGAAAAAAAATCATCGCTGGGAGGAGGTGGAAAAGACATCAAGAGATCAGTTATCGACACATAATGGATACTAAAAGTTTTGAAAAAAAAAATTCAAATAAAATTTTTTTTTTCAAATTCCGGGATTTTTCAATTTTGATTTTTTTGTTACCTATAAAAATTACTGTGTAGCTAGCGAGAGAAATGGGTTAAAAATGAGAGATCAATTTTAAAAAATATCACAAGACGAGGGAAAAATTATTTTTTTTTCAGTAATTAATGAATTAATTAATTAAAAATTTTCGAGAAAAAGAAAGAAGAACACAAGTATTAGGGGGAAACTTTTTGAAAGGCAATCTGGGTTGAAAAAAATCGATAAATGAGAGAAAAATGAGTAGAAGGAATTCGGCGAAATCAGATGGTGTTGGAATTCTGAAAAGTTGATTTTTAGAAAATCGATAATCGATTTTTGCAAACCTTATAAAACTCCTCCACCATTCGATCCACTTGGATTGACTTGTATTTTTTCGATTGCTCAGCAACCAGTTTGACATTGTCGGCTGAAAAATTGGAAACTTAGATTTTCAGATTTTTAGGAATTCCGGATTCGGAAATTCAGAAATTCAGAAATTCAGAAATTCAGAAAATCCAAGAAATTCAGTAGTTTAGAAAATCCAAGAAATTCAGAAATTCAGAAATTCAGAAACTGAGAAATTCAGAAATTCAGAAACTTAGAAATTCAGAAATTCAGAAATTCAGAAATTCAGAAATTCAGAAATTCAGAAATTCAGAAATTTAGAAATTCAGAAATTCAGAAATTCAGAAATTCAGAAACTTAGAAATTCAGAAATTCAGAAATTCAGAAATTCAGAAATTCAGAAATTCAGAAACTTAGAAATTCAGAAATTCAGAAATTCAGAAATTTAGAAATTCAGAAATTCAGAAATTCAGAAATTCAGAAATTCAGAAATTCAGAAATTCAGAAATTCAGAAATTCAGAAATTCAGAAATTCAACCAACCTGTTAGCTCGCAATGATTCGTAAAAACGTCCAACAACAGACGAAAATCGGCCCATTTCGTGTCCAGCTGAAGACGATTGTGTGGATTGTCGTCCAGCAAATGTGTGAAATACGGGGATACTGTAGTCAGCAGATTTCGAGAAACGACGCCCCACGCGTCGTTCTTCGCAAAATAGACGTCTACATGATCGGCAATGTTTGTTGGTTCACTGAAAATTGGTTTTTTGAACATCGAAATTTTAGATTTCTTGATTTTTAGACAGATTCTAAAATTTTTAAAAATATTGTGCGATTCTGTCAAAAAACCAGCTTTCTAGCTCATCTATAAGCCGAGATACGGTCATTTGAAGTTTTGGAGAGACGCAGACAACGAGACACTCCCACTTTCTGCGTCTCCGTGGCCGGCGGAGAGCCGCAGACAGACAGAGTGTGTCTGCGTCTCTCCAAAACTTCAAATGACCGTATCTCGGCTTATAGAAGAGCTAGAAAGATGAAAATTTTTGTGACTGGTGTATTTTTCAATTTCTAATCTAGGTATTTAAAAAATTCTCGAAAAAAAATTTAAAAAACTCACTAATACTTTTTCTCGCCAGCCGTCGGACACGAGCCACCGTGTCGTCGCAAACTGTAGTGGCTGGATAGTGCTCTGTTGCATTCCTGCAAGAAAAATTAATTATTGATTTTTATTCAAATTAACTAATTAATTAATTAATTAGGCAGTTAATTAGCTAGTTTTAAAAAGTCACAAAAGTTAGATATGCCAGTGCCGAAAAAAACGAAAAGAGACATTTTGTAGTGAAATAATTATTTTTAGTGTTAGAAATTAATTTTTTTTGAACTTCTCAAATTTCAAAATTCTAGAAAAATCTAGAAATGTTCAGAATTTTGTAGAAATTTCGAATAAGTCGTTAGCCACACCTGACACATATGTCTCGCCTGATTTAATGATGGCACCGGTGGAGCAGCTCCAGAAGAAGACGTTGAAGAGGATTCAGAAGGCTTTGATGATGACGTCATGGTGGATTCAGAAGATGTCGTGATGATGATAGTTTTCAATTGAGGAGAAATCGACGTCGACGATTCACGAGACGATTCAGACGACGTGAACGTCGCCGTCGTCGACTCATCTGGAGTGGCCAGCGGCGGTGACGTCGTTTTTGAATTGTTCTCGAATCGACTGAAAATTCCTAGGATCAATTGGTTTTGAGGAAGTCTCGATTGAAATTTTGAAAAGTTTAGAATCTCAGAATCTCAGAATCTCAGAATCTCAGAATCTCAGAATTTCAGAATCTCAGAATCTCAGAATCTCAGAATCTCAGAATTTCAGAGTCTCAGAATCTCAGAATCTCAGAATCTCAAAATCTCAGAATCTCGGAATCTCAGAATCTCAGAATCTCAGAAACTCAGAATCTCAGAATCTCAGAATTTCAGAATCTCAGAATCTCAGAATCTCAGAAATTCAGAAATTCAGAAATTCAGAAATTCAGGGCTTTTGTAGTTTTTGTCTTCCCTATTCCCAAAATTCGAAAATTCCGAAAAATTGAAATTTTCGAAAAATCGGAAGCTCAAAAATTTCAAAAAAATCAAGATTTCAAAATGTTCTGGAAATTTCAAAAATTCCAAGATTCTCAAAATTGGAAACCCAAAATTCCAAAAAATTCCAAAAATTCAAAAATCCAAAAATCTGACGAATTCAGAAAATCCTAATTTCCTAAATTCCAAAAAACCTTTAAATCCAAAATTTTCAAAAAATCCAGAAATGTCCAAAAAAAAACTCACTTCTCTCTCTCCAGCTGCATCTGGAATTCCTCCACAAATCTGACGACGACATCTGGAATCGGCTCTTCCTTCCAGGATTCAGAATTCCGGATCATTTCCATCTCCTCTTGACTCAATTCCGGGGTTTCTGACGTCTGCGAATCCTCCAACGCATTGTTTTTGCCTCCTTTCCGCTTAGCCGGCGGTTTCGGGTATTCTGGATTCCGCGACTTCTGAACCGATGAGCAATTCATCCGATGACGTCTCAGGGAGTAGTCCGATCCCATCGTCTTATGGCATCCGGTGCAAACGAGGCTCTGCTGACGTGGCTTGGATTTTTTCGGGGGCGGAGCGACCACAGCCAGCGATTCCAGCGCGTTTTGCTCGTTTTCCAGCACATTCTCCGGACTTTTCGACGCCTCTTTGGTTCGGAATTCTTCTCGGATCGATTGGAAAAGATGCGCATCGTATTCAGATTCGTCCTTTGGTTTTTGAGACTTCTCATGGATTACTGTAGAGTCTGAGAGGTTCACCTCTGCACAGCGCTTCAGCTCCGCAGCGATCTTGGCCATGGCACGGGTGTCCTCTTCGTCGGAGAATCTTCTAGGTCCTGGAACTTCAGTTGACGTGGACTCTGAAGGCGCCGTTGTGGTGGCCCACGATGGATCCCATGAACTGTAAATGGGCGTAGCTACGGGTGGAGCTGCCAACGGCGGTGACATTTGATAGTCTTGAGGCAAGTTCCACGATGGATGTGGAGCGGGCGTGGCTTGATAGCTAGTGGCCATCGCTTGCTGGAATCCGGTGTCCCATGAAGGGGGCGGAGCTTGGTAGAAAGTGGGCGCAGCCTGATCTTGAGTTCCTCGGAGGCTTTGAATCCCTGGAAGCTGTTGCTGTTGTTGCTGCTGAATTCTGGAATTCTGAAGCTTCGCGTTCTCTTCGTCACGTGTCTTCTGAATCCGGTCCATCATCAGCTGGACCTGTGGATTCCGTGGTTGTGGTGGACGATTTTGGGTTTTCGGATCCAGAATCGGGGGATTCTGAAGTCCAGAATTCTGAAGCTGTGGCGGATTCTGAATCGTCGTCGGATTTTGAGAACTCTGAATCTCCATTGGTGGACTTTTCTGGAATTCCGAATTTCCAAAATTTGTGACTTCTGGATTCTGCGAACTCTGAATTGTAGAGGACGTCGTTGTCGTTGTTGGTGGTGGAGGTCCGAAATTCTGGTTTTGCGAATTCTGAATTCCAAAATTATTTGTATTCTGAATATTCTGAACCATTGGTGGACTTCTAGAATTCTGATTTTGTCCTCCGAAATTTGAAATTTCTGGATTCTGTGGATTCTGAATCATCGTCGTTGTTGTTGACGTCTTTGGTTGGGATGGTGGTGGTCCGAAATTCTGATTTTGTGGATTTGGAAGATTCTGATTCCAATTCTGGTTCTGCGGATGCCAATTTTGTGAATTCTGAGCCTGATTCTGAACCTGTGACGTCATCTGATTCTGTTGTCCTGGGTTCTGCATCTGGGACGTCATCTGATTTGGATTCGGATTCTGATTCCAGTTTGATTGGAATCGACCCATAGGATTCTGAATTTGCTGATTCTGAATCTGCTGATTCTGAACCTGCGAATTCTGAATATTCGACGTCATCTGAATCCCTTGATTCTGATCTCGTCCCAGATGAATCTGGGCGGCGGAAAAACTGGTACTTCGTGGGCCAAAATTTTGAGTTCTTGGATTCTGACCTCCAGAAGTCGGATTCTGACCCCTTGGCAGAATCGTATAAGCCGATGGCAGTGCCGTTGGTCGTGGAGCAATCGGCTGAACGGTGATCGTTGACAATTGCTCATCCTTAATCTTCTCCGCTCCTTAACCTCCGCCTTCTCCTCCTTTTCCTCGTCTTCTGATCCTTCTGAATCCTCCGGATCCTCTTCAATTTCCACCTTCTTTGTCTTCTTGCCTCCAGACGTCACTTGTGTCGATGCCTTTCGTTTTTTGGGACGATCAACGCCTTCAGAAGACTCTAGACCGGCTACAGTATGCCGTCGAGTGACATTGCTCAGCTCTTGTGGTGCCGGGAGCTCGGGTTTTGCCAGCACTTCGTCCAGAGACATCTTGTGAACTGCCATTCGGTGTCGTTTCACATTTTTTCGACACGAGTAGCTGCAAATTATTGATTTATTGATAATTCTCAATAGAGCGCACTTACATCTTATCACATTCCGGGCAGATGTATGGGATGAGACGCTTCGAAATGGATCCTCGAGACGATCCGTCTGTTGGACTTGGATCCTCGGTTTCTGGCGAATCGATGCTCGACTGTCCTTGGTCCGCTGTTGGTCCGTTGGTGGCCGCCGATTTTTGATTGGTATCGATTGATAGGGGGACCGATGTGATAATAGAGTCTAGTGGTGATCCGGACCGTTTTGTCATTGGTGGAGACGATGGATCTCTGGAAAAAAGTTTATTTTAAAATTTCAAAAATTTTCCGAAAAAATTTTTTTTCGACAATTTTTCAAAACTTCATAACTTTGCTCATATTTTATCAATGTTGATAAAAACATATCAAAATATACAAAATTCATTTTTCTACATTTTGATATAACTTTCACAAAAATCGGCTGGAAATGAACAAAGTTATGAGGCTTCAAAGATCCATGGCCTAGAAATTTTTCTAGGCCATCAAAACCTTAATTTTTAAAAACTCACTCCTTTTTCACTTCTTCCGAAATTTCCATTTTTTGGGTTGTCTCCAAATTCTGATTCTGCACCTTTGGCACTTTTCCAGCAGCTGCATTCCTTGCTCGTTTTGTGGGCGGAGCCAAAGTGGGCGGAGCCGTGATGGGCGGGATCAAAGAAGGCGGAGCCAGCTGATGGTGTTGGGTGTATGGATCCGGTCGTTTTGAGCCGACGCTCAGAGATTTTTGAACTGCGCCGGGATTCTGGAGATTCTGTGACGACGTCATCTGATTCTTCTGCTCTTGATTCTGATTTCCCAGATTTTGAAGGCCTAGATTTTGTGACGTCATCTGGTTCTGGAATCCTGGATTCTGTCGATTCGGCACCTGCGACGTCATCTGATGTTGTTGGTGTGCCGGATTCTGATGTCCAGATGGATTCTGCATCTGTGACGTCATCTGATTCTGGGGTCCTAGATTCTGATGTCCAGCCGGATTCTGATTGTGCAACGTCATCTGATGTTGTTGGTTTGCCGAAGTCTGGACATTTGACGTCATCTGATTTGGATGGGCCGAATTCTGAAGGCCAGCCGAATTCTGGACCTGTGACGTCATCTGATGTTGTGAATGTCCTGGATTTTGATGTCCTGCTGGATTTTGATTCTGCAACGTCATCTGGTGCTGAATGTTCTGCGGATTCTCCATTGGCGACGTAATCTGATGATGTTGAAGTCCGCCTGATGAATTCTGATTCTGCGGATTCTGAGTCTGCTGACGTGGATTCTGAGCTCCAGAGTTCTGTGCTCCAAATTGAATCGGCGGAAGGGGCTTCGATTGAACCTGATATCCTTCCATCTGTCCGTGTGTCGGCCTGTCCATCTGTCTGTCCGGATGTCTCGTTACCGGCGGAAGTTGAAGCGGCGGCAGTGGCTGACTCTGAATCTGCACCTGTGGCTCCGATCCTCGGCGGGAATTTCCAGAATTTCCAGAACGTTCCTTCGCCGACGTCTTCTCAGCCAACGGCTCCGACGTGATCAGTACCAAATCTGTATTCTTGTGCTCAATCAAGCCCTTCTTACTGATGGGTGGGCTCAAAAGTGGCGGAGCTTGCTGTTTGAGTAAATGTGGTGGATTTTGAATTTGATTCAGGATCGGGTTCGGCGGACGTGGTGGTGGCCCGCGTGACTGGAATCGTGGCTGATAGTGGTGGTCCGAGAAGGCGGGGCTTCCAAAGTTCGGCCCATTTCCAGATAGTAGGCCTTTTTGCAATTGTTGGGCTTTCAGGGCCTCTCCTACTGTCATCATCTTCACGTGTGCTCCTCCGTTTTCAGCGACATCCGAATGGGTTACTGTAGCTGTCGACGACTTTTTGTTCGGCGAGATTTGTGCCGCCGCGGCTTTTTCCCGCGCCCATTTTTCCATGTAGGTTACGGTGGCGGTGGTTTCTTGGGAGGTGGGCGGGGTTTGAGTAGGCGGGGCTTGAGTGGGCGGAGCTTGAGCGGACGGAGCTTCAATGGGAGTCATCGGAGCTTGAACCACTGGAGCCTGCGCTGGAGCGGGTGTGGGCGGAGCCTGGTCAGATGTGGGCGTGGCTTGTTGCTCAGCAGATGGCGTTTCCAAATTCAATCCGTATTTACACGTGGCACGGTGTCGCTTCAAATTGCTCATCGAGCACAAGTGCTTGTTGCATCGTTCACAGGCGTATGTGGGCATTCCGGATTTGGAGGAGGCGTTTCTGAAAAAATAGGAATTTTCAAATTTTCGGCTTTTCAAAATTTTTTTGCTCCAAGCGGTTAGTTTAGCTAAGTTCAAAACTTGAAATGCTTCAAAATGAGTATAATCATGACCTACTTTGAGACACTTCGAGTTTTGGGCCGAATTAGGCCGGTTTTCAGGCCCGAAGCCCAAATTTCAGAAACTAGGTCATGGTTATACTCATTTAAAAGCTCTCGTTAAGAAAAATCTACTAATAGTGATTAAAAATCATTCCAGGACGATATAAAAAATTTACAACATCAAAACTAACCCATTACTACTACTCCTACTATCGCCATCATTCTCGTCGTCATTGATGAGCAATTCCAGTTGACTAGACACTTTTGGAATCGACGTCTTCTGATAGGACTCTGGCCCAGACGACGTGGTGGGTGTCGAGGGTACAGTATTACTAGTGGACGATAACCACGATGTGCTAAGAGACGGCAAGGCCTGCGAGTGATAAGTGGGCGGAGCCTGCTGATAGTTCGGGTAGTTGGGCTTCGTTTGGAGAGCCGCCAGAATCGCGGAATTCGGTTCGTTAGAAGCCTTTTCTGGGACGGCTTCTGCCACTGGCGGCTGAGCAATCGACGCTTTTCTCTGTGGTGGTGGTGCTGCATTTCGTTTTGGTCCTCCTCCGCCACCTCCAGTCCGTCGTTTTGGTTGGGGTGGAGATGGTGCGCCAGGCGGACGATTGGCGGCTCTAGAAATGATTCACAAATCACAATTTATAGGGAGGAGAACTTAAAGGGACAAGTGCCAAAAATACACAATTCTTCTAAAATTTTATCTAACAATGGGGAAGAAGTTCAACTCACTCAGCGGCCAACAAGTCTTTGTAGGCTTTGCACGTTCCAAAATGGCGACGAAGCGATCGATCCGAGGAGACGTGTTTTTGGCACGCACGACATCTGAAAATTTTTGGAAATTTTGAATTTGTATCGTTGAGAGCTTCAAAATGAGTATAATCATGACCCAGTTTGGTGGCTTTTGGGCTTTTCGGGCTTTTTGGCCTTTTTAGACCATTTTTCCAGGTCAGTTTAGGCTTTTCTGAGCTCAAAATGGGAAACTTTTTTTGAGCTGTCTTGGGTCCGTTTTTGAGCCGCTTTGAGCCGCTTACAAACGACTAATTCAACAACGACCCAATGGCGGCCCAAAATCGGCTAGAAAACAGTCCAAAACAACCTCTATCGTTTCAGGCCCTAATAAGCCTAAAAACCAGCCCAAAACTATTGTTCATTTCTATTTTTGTATTTGCTGTTTCATGATCTTCAAAATAAGTGTACTCATGACCTACTTACTGAGCTTGCGGCCTAAACGGCTCAACGGCGGCCCGAGAACGGCCCAAATAGCTTGAACTCATAAACCATGGCTTGCTTATACTCATTTCGAAGCTCTTATTGAGAAAAAGTAAGATCTGGCCAGGTTTTAGGTTTTCAGCCATTTCCGGGCCGTTTTCGGGCCACCGGCGGCCCAGAAACAGACCGATAGGCTAAAACTAGGAGCTATGGCTTGCCTATACTCATTTGGAAGCTCTTGCCAAGCCTTATCCAGATCTGGCCAGTTTTATAAATTTCAAGCTGCTCTTGATCCGTTTCCTGTCCCAAACGGCCTATATACAAAAATGAAAACTCACGTGAAAGCTGGCAAGGTGATTCCTGACGAAAAATTCGGCACCGATTCTCGTCTCGCTATTGGAGCTGCACGTTGCTGCGGTGGGGGCGGAGCTAACGGCGGCGGTGTCAAATTCTCAACAATCGGCATGCTCTCCAAATAGATTCCCATATCGTACTCAAGCGTTCCTTGGAATTTATTGATCGAGTAGTCCGGCGTGCCAGTTGACTCGAATTCAGGCTTCATAAGATCCGAAAACGAGTCCAGCGGTCCCAAATCTTGTAGCGGGTCGTGTAGAGAATCCAATGGGTCGTGGTAATCCTTAAGCAAGCTATCCGATAAACTATCCGGGAACAGGGGGTCCATATCAATGTGATCTACTGCTGATGGAGGTTCCGAAGGGAAGCTATCATCTCTGGATGACCATATACTATCAGATTGGAGGCCTGATGGTCCTGGATAGAGCATTGGATCATCCTTAAAATCAAATCCATCGGATAACATGATATTGGGATCGATCATCATTTCCTGAGGCGAGTAGATCGAGTGGCGGGCGTAGTCCATTTGGTGGAATGATGATGTGGATGGGCCGGACATCCCAGATGGCCCTGGAAGACTTGAAGACGTCGACGGACCAGATGACGTGGATGGTGGTGGAGACGTCAACATTGCTGCCAGCCTTGGAGCAGCTTCCTGAGCACTTGTGACCGCTGGTTGGGATTTTGTGGACGGTAGGGGACTTGACGAAATGATTGTGTTCGTTTGACCACAATTTTGACGATGCCTTTGAATGGTTCGACCGTTGGACATGGTCCGGTTACAGTTTGGACATTGCCAATTGTTGGGTTTTGTGGTTGGTAGAGGAGCCAGGGTGGCGAGGGGTCTGAAAATTTGGTTTTTAGGTTAGATAGTCAGAAAGACACTAATCCCAGAAAGTCTCATGTTTCTAGCTCATCTAGAAGCTAAGATATGATCATTTAAAGTTTTGGAGGTAAGAGACGCAGACAACTAGACACTCTGCCTCTCTGCATCTCTCTGCTGGCCACCGTGACGCAGACAGTTAGAGTGTATCATTGTCTGCGTCTCCTCTAAACTGAAAATAACGGTAAGTTGGTTTTTGAACAGAAATGCGCGATTTTTCTTATATTATCAGATACGGTTTTTTTCCGAATTTCTGAACTTCTGAAGCTTAAAATTTTACAAGTTTTCTAGATTTTTAAAGAACAAGATCAAAAATTCAAAAACACTCATTTCACAAATAGTTTGAAAATTCTAGCCCATTTAGAAGCTGAGATATGGTCATTTTAAGTTTTAGAGGTGAGAGACGCAGACAACGAGAAACTCTAACTGCCTGCGTCTCTCTGCCGACCACTGAGACGCAGACAGTAAGAGTGTCTCGTTGTCTGCGTCTTTTCGAAATTTCAAATGACCGTATCTTGGTTACTAGAACAGCTAGAAAGTTGGTTTTTGGTTCAAAATTTTCAGGAAATTCAAAATTTTAAATTTTCCAGAATTTCCAGAATTTTCACTCACCTCGTTGTTGGAGGCGGACTATAAATATTCGGCCTTTGTCTCATTTCGTTTTTCGCAAAAATCTCCGTCACATTTTTCGCCACCGCCATATCCGTTTTCTCCTGTTCCTGGGCGTCCGGCTGCCGTTTTCCAACGGGCGGCGTCTTTCGTTGCGTGGGCGGAGCCAAAGTGGGCGGAGCCAGATTGGGCGGAGCTGATGGGGGCGGAGCTATTAAATTAGTGCTCGTTGATTGATGGGATAGCGAAGTGGAAGACGGCTTGTGATGTAGATGGTGATGGTTCATGTTTGGGCCACTGGTGCTGAAAATATGAAAATTAGGAATTTTAAAGTTTTTTTTTGAAAGTTTTGAATTTTTAAACTGAAATTTTCAGAAAAAAAAACTTTTTTTTTTAAATTAGGAAAAAACATCAGAAAATGCTAAAAATCAATATTTTCAAGAATTCATGAATTGCAAAAAATTGGCGCTTTAAAAGAAATTTTAATTTGAAAAAGCTGTTTTTTCGAACTTTCCGGTAGATCAAAAAATTTGTTACTGGTAGATCAAAATTCTGAAATTCTCTGAAAATTCCAAAAATGCAAATTTCCAAATTTCTGGCCCCAAATTTTCTAATCTCCTCCATCCCCAAAAATGTATTTATCTTATCATTGAAAATCTGATTTATGGACCATAAAAATGATAGTAAAACTGGACCAAAAAAAGTCAATAAAATTCTATTACAGCCATAAAACTGGACCAAATTTTGGTTGGCCTAGAAAATATTTCATATGGCCTAGAAATCCAAAAAACCAAGATTTTGGAAGATTAAAAAAATTCGAAATTTCTGGTCAATTTTTCCCAATTTTTTTCAGATTTTTAATTTGCAAAAGCTACAGTAATCTTATCTAAAACACAACATTTTAAACCTGAGCAATCTTAGAAGGTCCCGAAAAAAAAGAGAGAAAAAAAGGAAAAAAACCGTATGGTCCCGATTTTCCCGCCCTCTGGGGGGTACTGTCCAAACAGAAGGTCTGATGACGTCACGTCATAAAATAGGAGGTCAATGTGTCCACAGAGCGCATTTGCATAGCGAATGGAGAGAAATAGCGTGTGGAGAGGCGGAGACACAGAGAAACAACAATGAGATAAGACAATAAATGGATTTTGAGAGGGGGGGGGGGGGTCATGGGAAAGGGGGGAGGGAGAAAAGGGTACTGTGAGGAAAAATCAATTGGGCGGGAAAATTTGAAATTTGAAAATTTCAATTCCAGACTTGTGAGAAAATCCAAGGATACAAAATTTCCCAAATTTAGATAAAAAATTGGAAAATGTGAAAAATAAATTTAAACGGAATGTTTCTGAATGTTTCGATTTTCAGGAATTTTTTGGGAATTCCAAAAGTCCCACAAATTCGTTGGGACCTTATTCTGGATTACCGTACCTTTTTAGGCTACGGTAACCGACAAATCTCACCTAATCCAGAAAAGAAAATGAACAGATGGTCCCTTTCTTTTTTCTCTTCTCACCCATCAATCACACATAATTATAGATTACTATCCCTTTTGAGATGACATAAGGTGACAGGGAGGGTCCTCAGGAATCTTAGAATCCTCTCAAAATCTACCTAGAGGAAAAATGCCCCAGAATTTTGGATTTCCCAGAATTTTGGATTTCCCAGAATTTTGGAATCTAAGAAGGGGAAAAATTCGTAAAATTTTACTTAAAAATTTTACTTAAATTTTACTTAAACTTCATAAAAATTGTGTTCAAGATCTAACTGAACAATACAGAATTTCAAGAATTTTCTATTTGTAAATATTTTCAATTTTGAGATTTTTCTGAAAATTTGATTTCTTACAATACTTTCGATTTTTCTACAAATCTGTCCAAAAATAACTTTTCCATCTCTTCTAGAACTCGAGATACAGCCATTTAAAGTTTTGAAGAGACGCAGACAGTTAGAGTGTCTCGTCGTCTGCGTCTCTAGCCTCTTAAACTTCAAATGGCCATATCTCGGCTTCTAGGTAAGCTAGAAATGTGGTTTTTAGACGAATTGTTAGATAATTTGTAGTATTTTTAGAAAAACTAAAAATTTTCGCAACAATTCAACTTTCAAAAGAAACTTGAAAAATGAAGCGAAATCTTGGGTCTCTGAAAGTACTTCAAAATCTCTACAAATCTGTTCAAAAATCACTTTTCTAGGCCTTCTAGAAGCCGAGATACAGCGATTTTAAGTTTCGAAGAGACGCAGACAGTTAGAGTGTCTCGTTGTCTGCATCTCTAACCTCTTAAACTTCAAATGACCATATCTCGGCTCAAAAGTGCTCTAGAACTTCCAAACTTTTTGTGAAATGTGTTATTTTTTGTTTTTTATCTAGTAATTTGAAAATCTAAGCTTTAAAAGTTTCAATTTTCGAAAATACTCACCTCATACTCCTCTGAACTGTTCCAAACGTTTGTTGTTGTGACTGATGTGGTGGGTGTTCCAGTACCTTCACAGGGTACTGTGGACCGCGATGAGTGGGCGGAGCCGATTGGGGCGGTGCCGGTAATTGCTCATACCTCACCGAGTGTAGCGGAGCTAGCTCATAGCTCGCTGAACTCGGATTTGAATTCGAGTTTTGAAATTGGTGGGACGGTGGATTTTGAGAATTCGTCGTCCCATTCTGAGCACCGCCGTAAGCTCCGCCACCTCCTGATGACGTCGACGGTTCGCCGTATGTCACCTGACCATTGGATGTTGAGGATGATGATCCATTATTGTATGAATGATGATAGTCTTGGCTCGGACTTCTGGAAAATTAAATTTAGAAAAATTTGGAAAAAAAACTTTTTTCAAAAATTTTGGATCTTTAATTTTTGAATTTCTCTAAATGTCTTAATTTTCAATCAATTTTGATGGGATAAAAAGCAAAAAATAGTTTGGAAATGAGCTTTTTGGAAAATATAATAAAATATCCCACATTTGATTTCTAGTCTCTAAAATTTTCAGACAAATAACATTCTTCTTTTTTTCGAAATTTGACCAAAAAATCTTCATTTTCCATCAATTTTCATCGGATAAAAACTGTTAAAAATTAAAAACTCACTGAAAGTCCAAAAATCCCTGATACTGTTGTTGTGGGGGCGCCGTCGAGGGTCCTTGATGATGATGGTGGGAGGAGGACGGCAGTCGAAGCGGCGGGAGCTGATGATGATGGGGTGGATAAGAGGCGAGGGAGGAATGTCCCTCCATCGGCTCTATTTGCGCATTTACCTGTAAATTATGATTTTGAATGTTTGAATTTCAAAAAATTCAAAAATTTCCTCAAATTTTAACATTGATTTTGCAAAAATTGGCCAAAAATTGAGAAAGTTATAATTTTTAGAAAAATTTAATATTTTTTTTAATTTCAATGATTCTAACTTTTTCAGTTTTTGATTGATTTAAGTATTTTGCATATCAAAATGTAGGAAATACAATTTCCTACATTTTGGTATAGCTTTCATGAAATTCGGTGAAAAATTGACAAAGTTATAGCATATTGAAAAAAAATGTCAAAAATTTTTTTTTTCAGAATTTTAAAATTTTTTTTTGGGTTTTTATATGAGAATTTTTCAATTTTTTGGCATAACTATATTGATTTTCATATAATTCTTCTAATTTAAAAAAAATCGAAAATCGGAATTTTCCCAAAATTTGAAAAATTCAAAATTTTAGAATTTGTTTTTTCATTTTCAGCCCAATTTCATGGTATTTTCTGGGAATTTTTTTGAAATTTTTATTTCAAAATTTCATAATTATTCCGAAAAATATACAGAATCTAGAAAATTGAATTTTCCACTTTTTGGTGTAGTTTTTCCGAAATTCGGTACGAAATTGACAAAGATGAGGGATTTTTTCTAATTTTTGAAATTCTATAAGTTTCTTCATTTTCAGCCAAATTCCATGAAAATTATATGAAAATGTGGGAAATTCAAAATCCCATATTTTGAAACTATTTTTTATTTTAAAATTGTGCAAAAAAAGGCTGAAAATCAGCTAAAGCAGAATCTTAAAAAATACTCCAAATTTCAAAATTTTTCAAAATTTTTAACTTTCGTCATTTTCAGCCAATTTCCATGAAAATTATATGAAAATATGGGAAATTTGGAATGCGATAATTTGAAAATATTGATAATTTCAGTTGTTCAGAAAACTCACGTGACGATGCGTCGTATCGTAAATGCTGTCGTCTTCTTCTGGAAAATTCGACGTCTTCTGAATTTCTTCTGGAAAAAATTCTGAAGGCGTGGTGACTGGTTGTCCTGAAGAACGATTGTTGCAACTTGGATTTGTTCTGAAAATTTGGGATTTTAGAAAAAATATAATTTCAAAATTAAACATTTTTTTGGGTACAAAAAATGCTTCCGGACCAAGAATAAGACATTTTCGGTGCGATCCCAAGAGGATTTCAAAGGATTTTGCGTGTGGTGGGGAAAAAGTAAAAAAAAAGAAGAAGAGAAGAAAAAAGCCGGGGAGGGGGACGTTGGGAAAAAAAAGACGAAGGGAAAAACAGAAAATTGAGGCCTATTTATGGAGAAAAAGAGAGGAGAGGCGAGAGAGTGTGAGAAGGGGAGAGACGCAGAGAAATGAGAGAGAGAGGGAGAGAGAAAATGCACAATGAGCACATACACATTTTAAAGAAGAAGAATTGTTAGAAGAAGGGAGGAAGAAGAAGAAGAAGAAAAAGAAAATAGGGAACAAAGAACAATTGTTCTGCATTTGCTGGAAAATGGGAAATTTTTGGGAGTTTTCATTTTACTGAAAACTAAGAAATTTTAATATTTTTAAAAATACATTACATTTTCTACAAAACGGTCCAAAAATCACTAGCTCTTCTAGAACCCGAGATACAGCCTTTTGAAGTTTCGAAGAGACGCAGACAGTTGGAGTGTCTCGTTGTCTGCGTCTCTAACCTTTAAAGCTTTCCAATGGCTACCGTAAAGCCTGTAATAGAAGGGCCCTCCGGAGGGACCTCGAAAAAATAGAAGGGCCGGTCCTTCCAATACAGGTTGTACGGTATATCTCGGTTCCATGGGAAACTAGAAAGTTGTTTTTTGGACAAAATGAATGAAAATATAGTCTATTTCATGATAATCAATAAAAACAACAACCAATCATTTTTTGGAAACACAAAAATTACAGAAAACCGATTTCTTTGAAGTTTGCTGAGATTCCCAAGATTCAATGAAGCTTATTACAAGAAAAATCATTTCTTTAGCTCCTCTAGAAGCCGAGATATAGTCATTCGAAGTTTTGAAGAGACGCAGACAGTTAGAGTGTCTTGTTGTCTGCGTCTCTCGCCTCCCAAACTTTAAATGGTTATATCTCGGCACAAAATTGGGCTAGAGCTCTCAAACTTTTTGTGAAATGTGTCATTTTTAAGAATCTCTAATTTATAACATATCTGTCTAAAAAATTCAGTTTTCAAAAGCTTCTAACTTTTTCATTTTTTTTTTAAAGTTTTGATGAAAATTATATTAAAATGTAGTAAATTCGATTTCCTACATTTTGGTATAGTTTTCAGAAAAATAGAACATTCCTTTGCAAAGTTATGGGCAAAACGAGATATAGAGAGAGCTAGAGAAAAAGACAGCAATTCGTATTAAAAATGAGAAAACTGAGATGAAGAAGAAGAAGAAGAAGAAGAGAAAGAAGCCATATGATCCGATGACAAATGTCATTCTCCGGGGACTACTCGAAAAATGAAGAAAACGAAGAAAAAGACAAATAAAAACAGATGTCGTTTTGGAAATATTAGTTGAAAAAAAAAGAGAGAGAGAGAGAGAGAGAACATAAAAATGCATTAGATCAATATATTGGAGTTTAGAGACCCTCGTACCTACATTTTCTAACTTCTTCTTCGTTTTTAAATAAACTGATAGAAAATTCAAAATAGCACATTTCACAAAAAGTTTGAGTGTTCTAGAGCAATTTTGAGCCGAGATACAGCCATTTGAAGGCAAGAGACGCAGACGACAAGGCACTCTAACTGTCTGCGTCTCTTCAAAATTTTAAAGCTTTTAGGAGATCTCGAAAAGTGATTTTAGGACAGAATAGGACGATTTCATGTGGATTTTCATATTGTCCAAATTTCATTTTTCAGATTGCCTAATTTTGCAAATTTTGAGCTATCTAAATTTTGGGTCTCTACAAGAAAATTATAAATTTTACATTTTGAAAAAAACATCGTGACAAATGAGACATTTCTGTCCAAGGACCACTTTTCTAGCTAGCTCACCTAGAAGCCGAGATATGGTCATTTACAGCTTTGGAAGACGAGAGACGCAGACGACGAGACACTCTGACTGTCTGCGTCTCTTCAAAACTTTCAAGCACTGTATCTCGGCTTCTAGGAGGTCTAGAAAATTGATTTTTGAACAGATTTATAGAGAATTCAAAAAATTTAGAAAATGAAAACGGAAGCTCGAAAATTCAGAAAATAGGATTCTTAGAATTCTGAATCTCAGCAATCTGACGTCGTCAAAAAGTAGTAAAAAAAGACAAAAAAAATAGAGAGATAGAGAGAGAAAATGTGGAATTGAATGGAACTGGGAGAGTGGGGAGAAAAAAGATGGGAATAGTTGAGTGGGTAAGGAAAAAAGAGAGATAGCTCTGTCTCTCTCTCTCTCTCTCTTCTCTGCGTCTCTCACTCTCTCGTCCTCTTTCTTTTCTCATCTAAATTGCATCCATTTTATTTATGAGTAGAGTTGAAGAAAGAGAGGGAGTAAATAGGAAGAAAATGAAAAAAGAAAATGAAGGGAAAATAAACAAATATCGTAATTGTATAATTCTTTAATTTTTCCTCTAAAATCTATTTTCAAAAACTTGAAAAAATGTATATTTTGCTGAAAATAGATCAAATCATCTTCGTCAAAAAACCACTTTTCTAGCTCGCCTAGTAACCGAGATACAGTCATTTGAAGTTTTGAAGAGACGCAGACAGTTAGAGTGTCTCGTCGTTTGCGTCTTTCGCCTTCAAAGCCTCAAATGGCTATCTCTCAGCTCCTAGATGAGCTAGAAAGCTGATTTTTGACTAAATTGAAGAAAATATTGTCTATTTTATGGATGTCTACAAAAAAAAACAAAACATATTTTTTGAAATTGAAAATTCAAAAGTTGGGTTTCTTCAAATCGATCACTAAAATCATTGGTTCAAATAAAGCCTACCACAGAAAAAATCACCTCTCTAGCTCTTCTAGAACTTGAGATACAGCCGTTTGAAGTTTTGAAGAGACGCAGACAGTTAGAGTGTCTAGTCGTCTACGTCTCTCGCATTCAAAACTTTGAATGCCCATATCTCGGCTTAAAATGGAGCTAGAAAACTCAAACTTTTTGTGAAATCTGTCATTTTTAATTTCTGATAATCCCCATTGTGAAATTCCAATTCTTACCAAGAATTTCTTGGTTTTCAAAGACTTCTAATTTTTTCAAATTATTGAATTTTCATGAAATTTACATCAAAACGTTGAAAATTGAATTTTCCTACAGTTTGGTATAATTTTCCCAAAAATCGACCCAAAATTTTCTTCGAAAATTCAAGAAATAATTGCGGACAAACAGAAATACAGACAGAAGACCCTTCGAACCCTCTTATTTTTCCCTACAAGTGCTTTTTAAGCATATTCAAGAAGCACCTGTTTCCTAGCCTAGAATTCTCTTCTTTCTGGGGTTTCTAAGCCAGTTTCCGCATGTCCGGATGTCCGAATGTCCACAGATCGATATTTATTCTACTGTGATTTTTGTAAAATCAAAATCTAGAAAATTTGATTTTTCTAGATAAAAAAGCTATTACGAATTCGAATCAGATGATTTCCGGATGTCCAGATGTCAACACAAAATAAATGGGAAAAAAAAGAGAGAAAACAAAATGGTCCCATTCGGAAAACGAGGGAGGGGGAATATCTAATGGCCGGGTGGCCCAACTGCCCCTTCAGAAGAGAGAGAGAGAGAGAGAGAGAGAGAGAGAGAGAGAGAGAGAGGGAGAGAGAGAGAGGCCCTCATTAATAATGGATAGATTAACCTCCCCCCCCCCCCCCCCCTTCATTGCTCTTTCTCTCATTGTATTATGTGTGGACTTCCCGAGAGAAAATGAGAGAGGAGAGACGCAGAGAAATGGGACAGGTGGTGTGGGGAGAACCACATTTTGGTCCGAACCGGATGGAGAAAATTAGAAAAGTGAGAGAGGGAGAGAGACGCAGAGAAAAAGGATTAATTGAGAATTGCATGTGGAAATAAGAAATTCTGAATCCTAGAAGTCTGATTTTCGGAATTTCAGAATTTTAGAAGTTCAGAATTTCAGAATTTCTGAATTTCTGAATTTCTAAATGTCTAAATGTCTAAATGTCTTAATTTCTGAATTTCTGAATTTCTGAATTTCTGAATTTCTGAATTTCTGAATTTCTGAATTTCCGAATTTCTGAATTTCTGAATTTCTGAATTTCTGAATTTCTGAATTTTTTGAACTTCTCCAAATTCGGATTTTCCTGGGTTAATTCTCCAGGATGCAGTCAAAAAAGCCGAATTTCGATTTTTCTGAAAAATGCAAATTCGCTCTACCGAACTGTACAGCGGAAAGATCGAAAACCAGAATTGGCAACAACTTTTTCTCCACTATCTAGAGAGAGAGAGAGAGATAGATAGAGAGAGAGAGAGAGAGAGAGAGAGAGAGAGAGAGAGAGAGAGAAAAGAAAAAGCATCTGTTCAAACATTTAAGGAGTTTGTGATGACGTCACAATGAGAAAAAGACAGAAATGAGACACAATTTTTTAAAAACCAAAAAAAATGTTTTCAAAATTTGAACATTTCAAAACTTTAAAAAAAAAATTAAAAATTTCAATTTTGGACCGTGTTTTTGAAAACCCTCTTCGAAAATTCGCAATTAGAACATTTTCTTTTTTAGTCGATTTTTTGAAGAATTAAATTTAATTATTTACATTTTGATATAATTTTTTACGAAAGTAACAGAAATTCAAAAAGTTAGAAGTCTTTTAAAACTGAGACTTTTTTGAATGATTTTTCGAATTCGAAATTGGTTCTAAGCCTCAAAACTTTGCACAAAAACGTTCAATTTGTATGAAATTTATATCAAAATGTAGGAAATTGAATTTCCCACGTTTTGGTATAATTTTCACTGAAATTGAACAGAGTTTCAAGAAGTTATGAAATATTGAAAATTGCGGGGTTTTTGAAAATTCAAATTGATTCTGAACCCTATAACTTTACGCAAAATTGTCGAATTTTTAAAATAACTATATCAAAATGTAGAAAATCCTATTTTCTACATTTTGATATAAATTTCATAAAAATTGAACAATAATTCAAAAAGTTATGAAATATTGAAAATTTCGGGGTTTTTAAAAATCCAAATTGGTTCTGAACCCTATAACTTAGCCCAAAAACTTTCAATTAGTATGAAAATTATACCAAATGTGGGAATTTCAATTTCCTACATAAATATAAATTTCACTCAAAGTGAACAAGAATTCGAAAAGTTGTGAAACTTTGAAAGTTGGGAAATTAAAAATAATGTATCTCTTCATATTTTTCCAACTAAATTCGTCAATTTTTGGGCATTTTTGATGAAAATTATATCAAAAATGCAGGAAATTTAATTTCCTACTTTTTTTATATAAAATTCATAGGAATTGAATAAAAATTCAAGAAGTTATGAAATATTGAAAATTGCGGGGTTTTTTGAAACCCAAATTGGTTCTAAGCCTCATAACTTTGCACAAAAACGTTCAATTTGTATGAAAATTATATCAAAATGTAGGAAATTGAATTTCCCACGTTTTGATATAATTTTCACTAAAATTGAACAGAAATTCAAGAAGTTATGAAATTTTGAAAATTGAGACGCATGAAAAAAAGTCAAATTTCAGATTTTTAAAAAGTTACTAGATCATTTTTAAAGTCCGAAATAGTCCAAAAAAAGATGGCAAAAAAGCGAGAGACGCAGAGAAAAAGGGAAAAGAACAATTTTTGGTTGAAAGAGAGAGAGGAAAAGGGGGCTCGAGCCATTCACCTTGTGTAAATAGGTTTTGTATTGTTTGTATATTTACGCAACATCAGTATTTAGATAAGTAAAAAATAGAGAGAGAGAAAGAGAGAGAAAGAGAGTGAGAGTGAGAAAATGAGAGAGACGCAGAGAAACGAAAGAGTTAGAAAAATGCTATGGGCGCGGCGACTGCCCCCCGAAAAAGAGTGGAATTTGATGCCATTCATATTGAAAAGAGAGAAAAAACGATCTGCACCCTCTTCGTTTTGTGTACTATCTCGCTTTTTTGTGTTCCGAAACACACAGATGTTTCATGTGAAAAAGATTTTTTTCGAAATTTTTGGAAATTTCGAAATTTCGACTTTTTGAATTTTTCAGAAATTTTGGAAATTCAGAAATTCAGAAATTCAGAAATTTCGAAATTTTGACTTTTTGAATTATCCAGAAATTTTGGAAATTCAGAAATTCAGAAATTTTGGAAATTCAGAAACTCAGAAATTAAGAAATTCAGAAATTTTTGAAATTCAGAAACTCAGAAATTTTTGAAATTCAGAAATTCAGAAATTCAGAAATTCAGAAAAAACCCACTGAATTGGAAAAACGCTGAAATTCTAAATTTTCAGAATGTTTCAAAACTTTGAAGTTATTCAGAATACATTGAAAATATGAAAAATCCACAAAATGGTAAAATTCAAAATTCAAAAATCCGAACCATTGAAAAAATCAAATAACCCAAAAAATGCTGGAGTTCAAAATTTCAGAAAGGTCAAAAAACCCGAAAATTCAAAATGCCCAAAAAAAATCAGATTTTGAAAAAACATGA